GCAAAACAGTATGGCACTTCCTAAAAAATTAAGAGTGGAATTACTACATGGTCCAGCAATCCCACTTTTATTTATCCAAAAAAATAGAAATCAGGATCTTGAAAAAATATTTGCACAGCCATGTTCATAGCAGCATTATTCACAATAGCCAAGAAGCGGAAGCAGCTCAAATATCTATCAATAGATGAATAAACAAAATGTGGCATATGCATACAGTGGGATATTATCTAGGTCTAGAAAGGAAGGAAATCCTGTAGTATGCAACAAAATGGATAAGCCCCGAGGACATTGTGCTAAGTGAAATAAGCGAGTCACAAAAAAAGACAAATACAGTACAGTACTGTATAAGTACACTTATATGATGAGGCATCCATAGTAGTCAAAGTCATAAACAGAAGTGGAGTGGTGGTTGCTAGTGGCTGGAGGAACAGTACAGAATAGGGAATTATTGCTGAATGGGTACAGAGTTTCAGCTTTGCAATATCAAAAGAGCTCTGGAGATCTGTTGCACAACAATGTGAACATAATGCTACTGAACTTTATGCTTAAAAATGGTTATGAGTGTAAATTTTACATGTTTAAATTGACAATTTTTTTAAAAATTATTTTTAGAAGAGCAAAGAAAGGCATGTCCACAGGACACAGATATATGGTATGATTTTACATGTAAAGCTGATATGACAGAGCTAAGGAAGTAGACTGAACCTGATGAAGAGTCTTAAATGCTAAAATGAATATTAAATGAGAAAATATTTAATCCTGGCCCAGAGCAGGAAAATATTCCATAATGTTCCTTTCCTTCAGACTTTCTCCTCTACGGGAAGAAGTAGGACTTCCCTGAGGAGGTGGTAAGCTAAACATGGAAAGACAAATAGAAGTTAGCCAGGCGGAGTGGTACAGACAGGCAATCCAGGCTGAGGAGATACCTTATGCAAATTCCAGACAAAAAGCGGGAAGACGAAGTAAAGACTACAGTATATTCGGCTACTGCAAATTTCAGCACTTCCGGTATCTACACCTAAAGACTGAAGTAACAACAGATGAGGCTGGAGGTATAAGCAAGGCCACATTATAGAGGATACTGCATGACACACAGAAAATTTAGACGTTTTCCTATAAGCCAGTTATATCTAAACTGACCCAGACCTACTCATTTCAACCACAGCAGCTCTACTTTCATCTTTTTAAGGTGTTTCAGTGTCCACATTAAGTCTTTTTTCAAACTTGGAAAATCACTAACATAGGCAGCAGAGAGCCACCGAAGGATTTCATGCAGCAGAGTGGTGTGACTGGCTGCGGTGTGATAAATGAACTAGAGTGCTGGAGATAATATCAGGAGGTCATGAGCTTACCCAGCTGAGAAATGACAAAGGTCTGAGCTAGGGAATTGACAGTGAGATAAAGAAAAGGTGATACGGAGAGCTATTAAAGTTAGAGGATATAGGTGAAATTATGTTTCCAAAGTATGTATCACAGTACCTAGAATAGCTCTATAAATGTTTTCTATTGTTATCAAAATCATCTGAATAAATCTGGAGGATTAAGAAAGAAAATCAACAGAAGTTTCCAAGCGTCTTAAGTTGAGCGAGTGGGTAGACGATATTATCATTCCAAAAGACTGGGAGCAGGATGCTGTTCTTTGGGTTCTGTGCATTCTGAGGTGAGAATGGGGAGGATGAATTCAGTATTAGCCATGTTAAGGTGCCTGTGGAACATCTAAATGAAAATGTCAGATGATAGGGTATATGAAACTAGGGCTCAGAACAGATTCAGATCAGGAGAGATCAACAATATGCAGACAACCATTACCCCAAGATAATGGTGCCAGAGAAGCCCCCAAATCTAAGCTTAAGATCTGGAAGGATCAATACCTAGATGTATCCAAAATTTCAAAAGCCACCAAGTCTGAGGATGTACAACAGAAGAAAAGTTGTTACTTTGAAATGCCATCTTTATTATACAATAATGTTTTAAGACAACCATATTATCGCACTTTTCTAATTGATTCACTGCTTGTCAAAGTAAGATCTAGGTTCTTATATTTTTAATTAAACTTTATTTTTGGAATATGACTAAACCTGATTTGATTTATAAAATAGTCTTCATTCTGGGAAGACCTCAGGTTGTGGAATAAGAAAACACAAAATAGGCCAGGTACAGTAGCTCATGCCTGTAATCCCAGCATTTTGGGAGAATCCCTTCACGCCAGGAGTTCAAGACCAACCTGGGTAACATAGTGAGATCCCATCTCTACAAAAAATGTTCAAAGTTAGCTGGGTGCAATGGCATGCACCTGTAACCTGGGAGGTTAGGCGTTTGAGACAAGTCTGGACAACATAGTAAAACCCATCTCTACTAAAAATACAAAAATTAGCTGTGTATGGTGGTGCCTAGTTATCCAGGTAGCTGAGGCAGGACGATAACTTGAGCCCAGGAGTTTGAGGTTACAGTGAGTTATCATCATGCCACTGTAGTACAGTCTGGGCAACAAGGTCAGATACTGTGTCAAAAAAAGAAAAAAAAGAAACATATTGTTTGTTTGTTTGTTTGGGCAACATTTATTAGGTATGAACTTGACTTCACAGAGTTAGAACGGCCATTTCACTTAAAATTAACCCATTAAAAAGTGTAAACATCACGGTATACATATGTTATCCAAAACTCCAAAAGGTAGTGAAACTAATAACAGAGATTGGTACTCATCTTTGGAAAGACACAACAGTGTTGATGAAACTGGTTCTCAGACAAGTATGTACCACTTGCTCCCATGCTTCAGGGAGGAAAGGGTATTATAACACAGGCATTATTGATGCAGTGACTCGTGGATATTTGCTCCTTATTAACACTGTTAAAATTAGGTTCCCATATTTTACTTTGTGCGGGAGCTAGTGGCTCTTGTCCTTTTGTTTTTTGACGGGTATTTTTCAAGCTGTTGGCATCAAACCCATTTATTTCAAATTGTTTATCACAGATGGGAATTTAAACCTCTTCACAAAGCAAACCACTGGAAATTCATAGATAGTATGCAACATTGGTCTGTAACTGCTCTCTGATAATATGGCAGCATTTCTTTGGAACATCATTTTCTTGATCCCACAAGAAGTGACAGGATAAGAAAAGTCGTAGTTAAATGACAACAGTTTTGTTACAGGACAGTTATCTCCCAGGTGTGTGTCACCAATTCTAATTTCCAAGTTGTTATCGAAAAGGCTTATTTTCATTCTGACTAACAACTGATCATCAGAACACATTGCAGTTATTGCTAGGTTGGGTCCAGAATTCCAGAACAATAAAGAAAAGAGGAAAGACCCACCTAAGAGCACAGAGGTCTTCATTGCTCCAGACACCAAGACACAACATAGGGGACACACACAAAGTATATATGAAACTAAAATTACACATATGCTAGGAAGGTAAAATTTAAAAACTACTTAACGTCTCTATGCCCCACATTCCCCATTTGTCAAATTGAGATAACTCCACCTACCTTACTTGGCTGTGATGAAAATTAAGTTACAAAACGTGTACAGAAACTAATGTGGTGGATAGCATATAGCGCAAGCTCAACAAATAATAACTTTTACTATCATTCTACCTTTGAGAAACAAGAAGCAAGTATTTTATTTTTAATTTTAAGTTAAATAAGGTCATCAAAAATATATGTGAATTAATATTTTAAAGCATAATGTCTCAGTACCTGGGCTTTCAAGGTAGCAGATTTTCTTTTTTTTGTTTTTGGAGACGGAGTCCTTCTCTGTTGCCCAGGTGGGAGTGGAGCAATATGGGCCTACTGCAACCTCCACGTCAGGTCCAAGTTCAAGCAATTCTCCTCCCTCAGCAACCCAAGCAGCTGGGATTATAAGCATGAACCACCACACCCAGCTAATTTTGGTATTTTTAGTAGAGATGGGGTTTCACCATGTTATCCGTGCTGGTCTCAAACTCCTAACCCCTGATCTCAAGTTATCTGCTGGCCTCAGCCTCGAAAAGTGCTGGGATTTCAGACATGAGCCACCACACCCGGCCCAAGGTAGCAGATTTTCTGACATGCAAAACCATGATATTTCAAAAAGATTGAATTGAGAGATTAATGCATGCAGTTTGCATACAATAGTGAAATAGTACAAGCGAATTACAAAGGCAGGACTTGTATAAAAACTGAATCCAATTTAGAAATTCCATCCAGTTGCTCCCAAATCTTAGCTATTACAACTGAGGAGTTAATATGCGGTCAAAATGAATTTAGAAAGGGTTAAAAGAAGATTAACTCATTCTACTTTTTGGATTTCTACATATTTACAATGGGATAATAGATGGGAAGACACTGTAAGCTATGACAAATCTAATAAAGTACCGAGATATAACAGTCAAAAGCACGAAATAGAAAAGTGGGACATTAGGGCTTTGTTTTGTGGGGATGAGGAAGAGATTTAGTCTATGCTTTATCTTAAACTTGAGTTTTTCATCAGCCTCCTTTTTAATCATCACATTTAAGGAAAAAAAAGGAAAAAACATAATTGGAGATATTTTTCCCAGTTAAGATTTTCTAAGTTTAAATTTTAATGAAGTTTAAGAAAACAATACCCAAAATCTATTGGCTGATTTTCACAACCATCGAAAATGAAGCCTAAAATACAACAGCATATATAGGCTGTATATACCCAAACACATATGTTAAGAAATGGGGCAGGCATGAGGTTGCCAAGCCTCTTGGAGAATTCCTTGCTATTTTAAACAAAATCACTCATGAGAAAAATAAAATGATGCATTTGGTTTATTCTCAAAGGAAACATACTATTTCACAGAATAGTAAAACTTGTATGCTATATATTTCACATATTAGTGGTTAAAATTAAACAATTCCAATTCTTTTCTAACTTAAGTTTATATATGATATACACGTACATGTACAAATGTACAGACATACGTGTGTTTATGTAAATTTTTATCTTGCATAGAGATATTTAGGAAGTATTAAATGCTATCGTTGATAAACTTACGAATCAACGTGCAGAACCCTCTGGCCACTTCTTGAACAGGCAGCTGCAAAGATGGATTCAGGCAAACCTATAAAAACACACATCTGTATCATTTAGAATGTAGAAATATGCACGTTTTACATAAAATGTTCAATTCATGCCATTGCTGTATAGAATAGTTTTACCAAAGAGACCCATCCTTGCTTGTATTCAGAATTATCAAGTTCATATTAATTATACTATAAGATGTTTCTTAAACATAGACCACTCCAACTGAAAATTTTATTATGGGAAGATATATTTTTTTAAAAAGCAGTTCTACTTAATTTGGAAAGAAGGAAAAGAAAAAAGAATTTTTAAAATTACTTACGTTCTTTTTGTATGTAAATTACTATCAATGAGCAATTATATATATTGTCCAGTTAATAACCATGTTCACACACTAGCTCGTCTGAGTCTACCAACTGCACTGAGATATAACCATCTGCATATGCATTTTAGAGAAGAGCCTTTTAAATTCATATGCATTTTAGAAAAGAAAAAAGAAAAGAAAAAAGACACAAATATCTTAACTTTCTGTCCAATGCTTAAAAAAAAAAATAAAAAAGAAGTTCTAGAGTTGAAATTTAAACCCAGGTCTAACTCAAAAGCCACAATGCCACTCAGGGGTCATACATTTTTTATCTTAAGAAATATGTCAACTAGTTTAGAAAGGGGCCACTTACAAGATACCTTATTTTGCTTTTTGACTAATATAGCAGTATGAAAACAAAACATTACTGCTTTGGAATCAAACTTAATCATACCATAAAGCTGATCATCATAAAAGGATATATATATATATTACTACCAGTACCAACAAAAAATTTAAAATGGCCAAAGATAATAATGCTTTTACGATTTTACAAAATCAAGTTTTCTGTTATATTTGTCAGTTAATATACCCTGGAAGTTCCAGACTCTTCCATAACTTTTAGAAATATGATCTACCATGTTGACAGAAGCCAGTACTGTTTATATTAGTTATAAAAATAAAGCATGCTTTAAAAGTTTAGTGCAATTCTATAGTGCTACTACTAACTCCATCACCACAATGAAACATCCTCTCGCATTTTTACCTAGTGGAATAAAACAGCACCAGTCTGTTGGCAAGGGTTTAAGCTACACACTACGCATCAAGGATTTCAAGAAAAAGGAACATCATTTTCTGTACATAAAAAGCAATATGCATATAGAAACAATTGATATAGTCAATCTCTAGCTAAAAACCATACTAAACACAAGCTCCAGCCTGCCTTCACAGAGGAACTAGTTTTCCAGTGTTGAACACTTTGTGGGTATATAATACTTGGTTCAAAAAAAAAAGAAGTTCTAACAAATGTACTGAAAATAACCATTAAATATCAATCATTGAAAATGAGCCATCATAAAGTTCCAATCTTAACTTTAGATATAATTCAAGTAAACAAAATATTTTGGAGTAGAGGGAAATAGGAGAGTTTTAAATTGCTAAATGTAGTTTTTTAGTTAAAACTCTTACTCAAATCTTAAGACCATCTGAACTTTTTGCTACACTTAAAGAAATAACTTTCCTTTTCAGTGAAATGCAGTCCTTATGGTACTTTAAAAGCTGATAAGCAGCTTAGTTAAAAGGATAGTGGCAAATAAACAGGAAGCAGATTAGGATGTTAAAGATTAATGTTTTTATGTGTAATAATGACAGCATTAATAACAATGCCACCAAATATTAGTATAGGGTTTTATCCTTCACACTGTATTTTCACATACATCATCTTATTTATTCCTCATTATAATCCTGGGAGGCAGGCAGTATCATCTACGTGAGCAAATAGGTTAAGAAAGGTTAAATAACTTGCCAAGTCACTTGACTTCTCTGAGCCTTTGTTTCTTCATCTATCAATGAGACTATCATGATCTACCTCATAGGATTCAGTTCTGCTGTTAGCAAGGGTACTTGCCCTATGAACACTATCTGTTCTTATTATCCTTCAGAACGATATTTTAGAAGGCTTATTATTTCCATCTAACACTACCCCAAACATATGCCTATTTTCACCAGATGCCAACTTCAATGGTGAACAATAATAAAATTAATCGCCTCCATTTGGCCCAAAATAACTGTTACTTGGGGTAGGCAGTTATGAATATGGTTATTTCCATGGCTGTAATCAACAATGTCAGAAGTCAAGTCTCTGGTATTAAAGCAAAGCCAAGAATGGATTTCAATACTGAACATGATTTGAGTCCAAATGACATAAAGCCAAAATGACTATCATTTGTGTTTTTCCACAATACTTTCATCCAACCATAAGTTTGTGAAATTCATAAGCTGTTCTAATGTTAAATGGCAAGGGCCTATTATCTTCATGCTTAGAATGACTAAAATAGCAAACTAATAAAATAGTAAACAATGTCTTCTTAACCAAGATTTCATATTTCTTCCCACCCATTTAATAAACAGAATTTCCAGGATACAGGAGGCATGTAATAGATTCTCTATAAATATTTGCTGAAGAAAAGAAAAAGAGAAAGGGAAAACGGGGAAGGGGGAGAGGAAGAGAGAGAAACAAACTGCGCCAGGTAGTGAGAGGTTGCCTTATATCGATCCCTAGCCTGTTAGAGTTCAGAGTCTATAGAACAAGAATTTAAAGAGATTAAAATAATAAGTTTATTTAAAACTGTCATAGAAACACAATTGAAAAAAATACTCCCTCTGTACAGGGAGTCATGGAAAGCTCCAAAGAACAGGAGAAATGAGCTGGGCCTTTCAGGGTCTCTAACAACCCTGAGGAGCACAGGAGACGGAAAAAGGAAAGTGGAAGGGATCATTCCTGGCAAAGTTAAAGGAAGGGAGAACAAAACAGTAATTTTTTTTTTTTTTTAAAGTCTTCGGATTGGCCTACTTCACTTAACATAAAGTTTTCAAGGGTTATCCATGTTATAGCATGGATCAGTACTTCATCACTGTTTTTTTATATATAACCAAGTAATATTCCCTTATATGGATATACCACATGTCTCCATCCATTCTTCTGTCAATGGATATTTAAGGCTGTTTCACATCTTACCCGTGGTGAACACTGCTGCAACAAACATAAAGGTAGTCACAGAAGGACAAATGCTGCATGATTCCACCTAGATGAAGTATCTAAAATAGGCAAATTTACAGAATCAGAAAGTGGAATGGTGGTTCCCATGGGTTTAGGGGAGAGCGGAATAGGGAGTTGCTAATCAATTGGCACAAAGTATCAGTCATAAAAGATGAATAATTTCTAGAGAACTGCTCTACAACATTGTACCTATAGTAAACAACACTGTATTGTACACTTAAAAATTTGTTAAGAGCAGAGATCTCATGTCAAGTGTTCTTATCAACATGAAACAAAATTTTTAAAAATTTCCAAGGAGTTTAAGCCAAATTAGAGTATCTGAATTTGAACCTCTAAGGAACAGGGAGACTTGAAAGTACTTTAGCCAGATTATGGTCAAATCAGGGTTTCAAAAAAAAAAATAAAAACTGTAGTCACAGCATGGAGGATAAACCTGTATAAAACTGGAGCTTTATGCTTCAGGGTTTTTAAAAATTATTTATGAAAAATCAACATACTTAAAACTTTTTGGTCATATTGCTAATTTGGTAAAATAATAAAATGACTGCTTGCTTTGTTTAAATTACTATTTCTAAGTGCATACTTAAAAGTTTTTGGTCTTATTGCTAATTTAGTAAAAGAATGACTGATTTGTTCAAATTAATATTTCTAAGCTCAATTTTATTAGCACTTAAACTCTTGATTAATTTCAAAATAACACCTGTTCAATGCTTAAAAAAGTGAACAGCTACTCAAGTTCACACAATATATTCGTGAGGCATTTATATGAAACATGTATGTGCTTATTTTGAACTATATAGTCTCTCCCATGAGGAAAAGCCAGACATGAGCTAGAAACAGATAACCTAGATTAGGGGCAAATAATACAGCATTCCACTGGAAACACTCTGTAAAATGTGTCAGGACAAATAGACAAGTACAATGTTTTCAACTGTAAGATGGGGATAATAACACATCTCATATGGGTGCAGGGAGGAACAGATACAAAACAGTATCAAACACTACACATAGTGGCTCTTGGCATGTTGTTGACATTCAATAAATGTTACTTCTCTTCCCTCCTCTTCCTACCCTTTCAAAAAGATTAGTTCTTTGAAAGAAAAAAAAAGCTATCACTTGCTTACTATTTGCTTAAGTTACCTTCAAAGATCTAGCAACTTAAAATCATTTTTTAAATAGTCCGATAGCCTTTTCTTTATGTAAACTATAGAGGTTCATCAGACATTTAGTATCATTTAGGCATTTCACATTATTAAATATAATTATTAAATTCATTAGAAAGGCTGTACCAAAGAACTTGCTCTGCCACAGTATTATAAGCAAGCATGTAAAATTCTGATGCAAGACAACAACTTTGGCAAGTCATTTTTATTAAACACAGGTAAATACTAGGTATTAAATTAGCATCTCCTAACAGTTGTAGTAGGGTAAACAGAGGTTTCCTCCATCATGCCTTTCACAGTTGAGGTTCTGTTACAGAGGTGGCAACTAGAAAAAAAAAACTTAGACGCTTATGTAACGTTATATCACCATACACTAACATTTATGGTACCAGCTTTCTGCAATTTTCTAAAAACCTGTCTAGATAAAGTAGAGATGTTTCATTATCAAATGAAAGAGCTAGGCTAAAATCAGGACCCAAGAATCTCACCTAAAATATTTTACAGGGATAAAACCATTATTCATTCATTTTCCAAATCCCCCTTTAATCCAAATTCTTAATGTCAAATCTCATCATTTACAACTATAAAATTTAGGTTAGTTCCCCATGATAAATTCTTAAAATGTATTAGTATCTGGGATTGATTTTTCCTAACACTATGCTTACACAAGATAAACATAAAATAAAGTACTTACACCACTCCCAGCATATCGAACAATAAATAATAGATTCCCCTGACAGGACTTTGATGACCTGGCAAAGCCCAAGTACTTTCAGCTCAAATCATATGAAACC